AAGTGTTGTCTTAATGTCTAGTCCTTAGTATTGTTATGCTTTTGTTCTCCTATAAATAGGGGTGTGTACTAAGTGTTTAAGGGACTTCCTTCACTCAGTTTTTACAGTTTAGTCATTGTAATCTATAAAATCAAAAGCATAATATGAGTTGAACAAATATTCTATTTACTCTCGTATTCATCGCTATTACTCTTTCTGATTTGATACTTGAATTGATTCAAACTCGATTACAAATCTCATCAGGGTCGACATTGGTGCCTTCGACCTTGTTAGTATAGTGAGGACAACTTACCTCTCAAGTAGCTCAGAATGATAGTATCAAACTCCTCCAAATACAGATCCAACTCCAACATCTACATCCACCAATAATCGAATCATATAAGTTCCTAAATTACAAAATACCCCCAAAAGTCAACCCGGTCCACTCTCGGTCGAAGTTAAAGTCAACGGTTAAGGTCAACAGTCGATGTTGACCAAACTCGTCGAGTGCAGCTCACTGATTCATCGAGTCCTTCAAGAAGTCAAGAGACCATGAAAACCCTAGTTAATTCACCGAGTATCCAGATAACTCGTGAAGTCCATGCGTGTCTAAATTTTGGGAAAACCCTAACTGACTCGTCGAGTCGTCTTGCTGACTCGCCGAGTTCATGCGAAAACCAACAACAACTAATCTTCATCGGACTCGCCAAGTTGACCATGCAACTCGTCGAGTCCCTTCAGTCCATTTTTTCATTCAAACGTTTTTAATCTAGTCCAAAGCTCCAAGTTGTAGATCTAGCTTCCTAAGGCAAAGATTCCACATAAAGTTGCAAACTTTACATGTATGTAAGGTCTTAAAGGCTTAGAACACACAAAACCATGTCTAGAATGAGGTTAAGGGTTTGGTGAGATGTCAATACGAGATAAAGTTGATAGCTTTATGAACTTGCGAATTGGAGGAGTCCAGATCTGAAGTTACAACTTCAGATGCTGGCCAATACCCGAAATGGCTAACATATATCTTAAAAATGGCCCTAAACTTAAGCATGGAGAGATCTAGCTAGACAGAAGTCAAGGTAACGACTTGTTACCTTCAAAATGATGCTAAGATGAGGTAGAATCAGATTCAAAAGCTTTTCTTTGCTCCAAGCTCCTTAAACTCCAAACCTTCTTCACAAAATGCACCAAAATCACTCTTTAAATCTCACAAGCACTCAAGAGCATGTAACACTATAAATTTTCAAATAAAATTTTCGTTATTTAAAATCACATAACTCAATGTCACATTTCTCAAAAATCACAAAATGTATAAGTTGTCAAAACACCAGTCAACAATGTTTGATAAAATCCCAAAATCCTTAAAATCATGATCTCTAATTGGTGTGTACAATCAAACCGACACCTTCTTGCGATCATGAAAAATACCTAAAACACATATCACACAACACGGTAAGTTCGAAGATTAGGGAGTTCCCCAAAAATACCTCACATAACTAATTAACCTCTCATGGCTATATCTCGATAAGGACCCTCCAGTCATATGTCTTAGTGAGGACCTCCAGTCTCACAGCTCGAGACAGACCCTCCATTCCGATATCTTAGTAAAGACCCTCCAATCTTACAAGAACGGAATAACTCAATAAGGCGCAAGAGTAATATACATCATAAATCACAAAGAAAATATGCATAATACCACATAACTCAGTATAAGAACATAAGACCTTCTGGTCACACAATGATTTCCACTCTGGTAAGTATAGTGAGAAGACTCACCTCAGATAATGCACAACTCCTATAAATGATGTTGTTGCATACTGACCTCTAACACTGAACTAAACCCACGATTAACCCAATTAGGATCTAAGACCAAAACCTCACTTATTAGATCTAAAGACAGTCCACTAACCGGCCCCTAAATAACCCAAGCCCATTGGGGCCACTAAGGCCTAATATTAAATGGGCTCCACTAAGGCGCAACCCTTAAACTTAAGTCCATAAAGGCAAGCCCAACATAAGGCCCCAAGACATATATATATATATATATATATATATATATATATATATATATATATATATATATATATATATATATATATATATATATATATATATATATATATACCTCTGATCTAGAATCTCCAATACAACAATTCCAAATCCAGGCCCAATATGAGATTTATCCCAAAAAGCCCACAACGAGATTACGCGGGGTGTACCTCCCTTGGTACGCATAGCGTACACACAAATCCTGATCGGGGAATGTAGACTAGTACGCGGGGGGGTACTAGGACTTACGTGGGGCCTAATGCTCAGGTCCAGAAACTCCATTTTCGACTTAACCACTTCATCCAAAAGCATCCAAACCTCAGGGAAGCTTTGTTACAAGTTCCCAATTAATAAAGTTGGTGATTTTATCACTTTGCATGTCTTAACAGAACCCAACTTCCAAAATAACCATCAAATCTCCCTTAAATCCTCTTAACACATGCATGTAGAATTCTAGACGACCAAGTTTTTACATTTATGAATCAAGGCAACCCAATACACTTATAAGGACAGTCGATTTGCTCTAGAGTTCACCAAACTCACAAAGTTTAAATCTTGGGACATAAAACTGTAAAAATGGACCCAAAACAAGAACTAGCACAACAATGATCATGTTTCGAACTTTATACCTATAGAAGATGCACCAACAAGGGTAGAACTCACATCCACAAGCTAGAATCACCAACTATCCACTTTCAAGACTCCTTCTTCACCAAGAGCTTCACCAAAAACACTAAAATAAGCTACCACACTCACACAAGCCATGGAAATGAGATTAAGGTTTTGATAGGAGTTGGAGGGTGGAAATGGTGGTTGAAAATGAGGCCGTCATCTTCCTTAAATAGGGTTACCTTAAAATATTAGGGTTTACATTATCTGCCTAGTACGTCCAACATATCCTCTAGTATGCCCAACATACTAGGTGGTCTCCACGTTCATGCTACACATATAAGTATGCTAATCATACACATACTTACGCCCTACATACTCATATGCCACCCATTTCTGAATAAGGAATAAACTTGCCAAAAATTCACACTATCATAGCTTCTTTGTTATAATTCCATTTCCAATGAGCCTCATATCCACGAAAATGTTGCCATAATTAGCTATTGAACACTTATGCACCACATACCAGTTGACTCTAACCGAAACAAAGAAACGGGGGTCATCCCGAACCAAGGACCAACCTCTGATACTGATATCAGAACCCATATGAAGAGTGAACCTCAATGATCTATCCTCAACACTAAATGAAGACCTACCGATCCACATGGAAACCAAAACTCTACACTAGGTCTAACCTCACGTTAGACATAATCATTTCACTACCAACCCTAGGATCATTCAGCTCCGACCCCGAATTCGATAACCATGCCTAGCCGAACTATCCACTAATATCCGGAAACATAACTCTAGCTGCCTCTCAATGTTTCAAACAAAATCCGAATACAAGATCAACTCTCGACCCAACAGTTGAACTTCTACGACTTACCTAGCCCATCCGACAATACGATTTCATAATCGTCCAATCCAACTGAGCTGACTCATCCAATCACAATGAACTCCATAATTATGAAGTTCGCTTTATTCCAAGAGATTACTACAATTGATTTGAAATTGCACCCCACAAACGACCTCGGTCACGTAATACTTGCTACTTCATGCACGTCATGGTCCTCCTAAAAACAATGAACCCATTCACCCAAGTCTAAAACATCAAATGGAAAATACATCCCACTAAGAATGAAATCCATCTGAAACTCCGAAATCCCAACCTGCTCATCCTCCACACAGATAGAGCCAAACTCACCCACAAGAGTCTGGTTCGGCAAAGAGTTGGAACCACTCGTCCCTACCTAGTACTCAACTCATGACCCACATTCCACGAATCTACACATGCATTACACCTCGATCCTTAGGATTTGCAATAACCCCTCTTTAACCTAAAACACAATTGTTTCCGATCATTGCTGAGATCCCAGTCTCAGCCCTGGTTTGGCCACCGGGTTCCTACAGACTCATTTGGCAAAGCTACCCAGGCCTAAGAACCCATCTACATCACACCCTAATTAGTAAAGCCTATGGCTCCCCACTATCTTACACCACCCTCTCGCTAACTATCAAGTGCTATGGATCCGTGTAGTCTTATGACACTCTCTCACTGCCTCGTGAATGCTACGGCTCCTGCAGTCTTATGATACTCTCTCTAGCTGACTCATGAATGCTACAAATCTCCGTAGTCTTATGATACTCCCCCTCTGAATCATGTATGCTACAGCTCCCACAGTATGGCGATACTCTCTCTAGCTAACTCATGAATGCTACGGCTCTCTACAGTCTTATGATACTCTCCCTCTGACTCATGTAAGCCACGACTCCTTGCAGTATTACGATACTCTCTTGTACTGACTCGTGAATGCTATGGCTCCCCATAGTATTACGACACTATCTTGTACTGACATTGTGAATGCTACGGATACACGTACACTACTAGAAAACAACCGTTAAATTACGCACAAACAATGACACGCACTGATAGAGGACACCCATTTGTGTGTGCCTTAAAAGATAATTTTGGTTTTGCAAAATAAGAAGGATAGAGGACACGCATTTGTGCGTGCCCAAAAATTAGTGTCAAAAAAGAAAAAAATGGAAATGCGGAGCACGCCTTTCATAAAATGTGTGTCATCTAAGTCTGTCGGTTTATAATTTTTTAAAGAAACATGCATTTTAAGTGGGATTTCACCCGCCTATTGGATCCCAAAAATTAGAACCCCCACGTCTTCCAATTAGCAAGAAAAATGCCTAGGGCCTTCTTCTTCATAGCAGAATTGCTTTTGATTTCGTGATCAAATGCATCGTGACGACAATGAGATAGTATGAGATCTATAAGAGATCCAATCCAGAGCATGCCTGTGTTTGTGTGGCCATCCTCGGTCAACTGACACACTTTGAAACCCTAATATCCTATCATGTATGCCACCAGTGAGCATCATTTACAAGCTGAAACCCTATTCACATATGGAAACAGAATCATCCTGATACCCTCGTCCTTAATCTCTTTTAACTCCTTCATTCTTCTTCCAGTGGAGTTATTTTCCAAATCAGCAGCTCCTGCTGCTACACCACCACCAACCCCAGAGTTTTGTCGCCATCCATATATGTTGCATCCGCGAGTTCAATCTCTACACCAATTGCTTTATCACATGCATCTTTCGTTGGAATCCTACCTGTGGTACTGGTGATTCCACCTATGGTTCCCACGATTCCCCTAGCTTCATCATCGACTGGTGGAGCTCCACCAGCGGAAGTTTAAACACAATAACTTTCTTCAGGTATATCATTTGAATTTGTATTCTCATTTCCTTGTTTCATAGAATGGTTAATCTATTCAAAGTTTTTGTATACGTGTTTCTCTTTCTGTTGTGCATTTCATATACGTGTTTCTCTCATTTTCTTTTGGAAAATTTGTTTGCACTCAGCAATTCCAATCACAATATCTAGGGTTAACTAGGTGGATGTAGGGAGGCTCGACATTCAAATGTCAGCCATGCTAAAAGAGCAAATGGTTAATGTTTTCTCTGTTATGAAGGTACATCACACGATTCATTGACTATCCATGATTAGTTGATTACTATCTCCTAATTAAGCACAATTAGATGATTTTTTACACTAATCAGTCGTGTTCATCGAATATTAATTATGTTCCTCTTCTTACTTTTTGTGATTAGCCAGGATTATTATTTCAATACGAAGCAGAACTTGATGCCTTCCTTGAGTTTCTTATATGGAGGTTCTCAATTTTGGTTGATAAACCTACTCTAGGAAATGCTCTCATGAATCTACGATACATAGATGAACGCACCATGGAAACAAGAGCAAAATGTAAGGTTTTTAAAGCAATTACACAACATAAAACATGAAATGAAGCTTTATCTTATAGTTTCCATCATCATAGTTCTAGTTAGAACAGGGTTAGAGGGACCTGGGCTCACAATTTATCAAAAAATATGGTACTGTGTTGCTACAGTTGGTAGTCAGTATACTTGGTTTCGTTTGCAATCCTTATCTTCTTTCTGCCAGTGGGGTGATTCTGAACAGGTATCTAGTATTCAATATCAACATATGTCAATTAAAAAAACTTAATTTTTATGATGATGACATTAAAGAATTAACATCAAGTTTTTTTTCCTTTTTTTCTATCTCCCTCTTGATATTTTTTGTTATGTGGGTAGAGGTCACTAGCTCATAGATTATGGTTTATAGTACAACGCGTTAAAGGATTTTATAAAGTTGCATCTTTTGCTAATCTGTTTGTATTTCTTTAAAGGGGAACGTATATGAAAGATATAGCAACATACTTTTGTTTACCTGTGTGTGTGTTATAGGCTTTATTTCTTTCTATTATAATATTGTATATTATCTATTTGTCCCTTTTGAATACAGGTATAGGAATCTTATCGATAGAGCTATAAAAGCAAGACTTGTTTATGGGAGCCCTCATATGAATCGTGCTGTTAATTTCAAGTACATGAATCACCAGTTAGTTTGGAATGAATTTTCAGTAATTATCATTCTTATTCACTTGACTATCATTTAAATCACTAGTTAATTTTTTTAGTAATTTTTATTTAGGAAATGCTGTTGTTGCTTCTTCCCATTCTCAGTTCGTCTTCCATGAAGAATTTCTTCATCCATTCTCAAAACATAACTATTCAGGCTCTACTGGAGATGAAACACTATGCCCCATCTGCCAGGCCAATCCAACAAACATGTATCTCACCCTTCCTTGTCAACATAGGCACATTGCTAAATCAAAATTACCTTTTTGTCCTTTAGACTAGGGACCGGGACTGAGACCAATGCCAGTGGGAATAAATGTGAAATATGGTGGGACGGGGACTTACTCTTGATATATCGTCTATGCAAAAGACATAAATGCCCTATGCAATGAAAAGAACATCAAGGCTATTCATCTTTTCACCTTAATTCAACAACGACCTGACTGGTTGACAACTAGCTTTCTGTAAGTATATATGCTTTATTTGTTCCAAAATTTTAGTTTATCATTTCATTTATTATTGTATGTTTAGACAAGTATGTTGCTAGTTCTTTTGTTATCTTAAGTACTTCATATGGGTTTTTGTTATTATTTAATACAAAAGAATAGCTTCATAGAAAAAAGCAAGAAAAATGAGATTGTCCCCATTAAGTCCCAACCATTAACAAATTTGTGTTGCATAGCTTATTAGGTCGTATTACATAACTTATTAAATACAAACACTTGATATATTGTCTTGTAACAGCCAGGAATTTCCAGGTATTTATTATTAGTGTATTTCTGGAGAATTGTGACTGGAGTCGGCGAGTTGGAGCCCAAACTCATCGAGTAGGATCGCAATTTTGAACGCGGGTTCGCGTCCGGACTCGGCGAGTCCAAGAGTGGACTCGGCGAGTCCATGGTGTTTAATGAAACACTAATTTCTAGGGTTTAAGACCTATTTAAAGGGGCTTATGGCCGTCATTTGCGGCCACCAACCCCTAGAGAGAAATCCTAAAGAGATTTGAGCGTTTTGGGAGAGAAAAGAGGCCATTATTCACCTTTGAAGCTTGGTTTGGCAAGGAAAAGGAGATTCTAGCTAAGAGAAGGCAAGGGAAGTGGACATTCTTCAATTTTGGAGCTCAGAGCATCATCTTGGAGGTATATCTTGGCTTCTTTTTTGTTTTTATGATGAACATGGGGGTTTAGGGTTTCTTGACCCCTTTGTTGGTTAGATTTGATGTCCATTTCGTCCCTATTCATGATAAGGCTTGAGATGAGATCCATAGAGGTCCAGAAGAGCTGTATTCCTTAAGCTTTATGAGGGTTCATGAGAGTATTGTCCTAGAGTTATGAGATATGGGGCTAAACATCATTTATGAGCAAATAGTTGTTGTTTTAGCCCCAAGGTTTGGACTTTAAGTGATTATCATGCTTGGGGAGGCCAGATCTATGAATATATGGAACAGATCTGACCTCAGGAGTGAGTTTGAGTTGATGCATGTCATGGACTCGCCGAGTCTGAAGAACAGACTTGGCGAGTAGCATGAAGATTGCCCAACACCACTCAGTGAGTGGTCTTGCCGAGTTAAGGGATTGACTCAGTGAGTCTGGGAGAGTCAGAGTGGGTTGACATGTGGAATGAGTCAAGCTGGAACTCGCCGAGTTGTTCTTGAGACTCGACGAGTTGAGTTGTGGAGGACCCACAACTCATACCAGGTGGAACTCGTCGAGCTAGGAGAATACTCGTCATGTCAAGTGAGGATCCCATGGAAATCAGTGTATGCGCATAGACTCGTGGAGTCGCTATAGTGCACTTACCGAGTCCGGTCAAAGTTGACCGTTGACCATTGACCAGTGTCGACCTATGTTGACTTGTTAAGGGATTGTCATCCTTAGTTGTGAAGTGTTATTTAGAGACGTATTGTGTTATAGGAGGATTATAGATCGGGAGATCGAGCACGAGTGATTTCAGGGACTTGCGAGTTACCGAGATACGGGAGGCGAGTCTTCTCTCTATACTTTACCTTGTGTAGGTAACTAGAGTTATGGGATACATTGTTTGTATGCTGTATATGTGTTATGTTTTGCGCTGCATTATTCTATGTGATTTATGATGTGCATGTTTACAGAGTTAGAACCTGAGGGTTCAGAGAGTTTGGGTGCACCGACCCATAGAGTTATAGCCTCGAGTGGCTAATATGTGTTATATACGGTATTTTGGGGAACTCACTAAGCTTTGTGCTTACAGTGTTTGGTGTTATTTGTTTCAGGTACTAGTGATGACCGTGGGAAGGCGCCGGCTTGATCAGTACACACGCATGGGATTTTATGATTTTGAGAACTTGGGATTTTTGTATTGCTTGGATTAAATTTCAAACATGGTTGTTTTATGAATATTAAGTGAATTATGTTTTTATAAAATTTGAAAATTTTGTCTTGAAATTTACGGTGTTACAAGTTGGTATCAGAGCCTTGGTTTGAGGGATTCGGGTACACCTTCGGGAGTATTTGAACTCAAACTGAGGATTTGAAAAATATTTTCAAAAGAGAACCAAATTTTCTAAAAGTAAAAGATTTCTAGAGAAATTCGGAGAAGAAACGTGTGTATGATCAGTCAGCGCCCGAACGGTGATTTCCCAAAATACGCTTATATTATATGTTTATGAGATGTTATGATGTATTCTCTTGCTACAGTAGGCTAGGTATTCCTATTAGGACTAGAGTGCCCTGATTTGTGATGCCTTAACCTAGGGAGAGGTGAGCTGCTATGAGATGCTTGAGAGTGAATATGTAGCAGCGAGGAACTTATGAGAGATCTGTTAGAAAGTGATAGAGTAATTGGAAATTGGGATTTGAAGAGGAGGATTTGGGGTGTATAGTGAAAAGGTGTGGACAGTAGTATTGGGCCCGTACTACTGAATGCACCGGGGCGGTGTACGGTCCGAATAAGAATCTTCGGAATGCCAAGGATCAAGGAGGGATGAGTTGTCGAGTGTGAGTATGCTCGAATGGATTCTAATTTATCATACGTTGTATTTCAGAGGTTGATCATGGTGAGGACACGTCATATGACAGAGGGCGTTAGGGCTAGTGATGAGGAGATCTGTCAAATCATTCACAAGGAGGTGGTTGCGGCCATCAGGGCAGAGATACCAGAGATGTTTAGGTCAATTTAGACTACGCTGATTGAGACTTTCGATGAGCATTATGCTGCTCTTTCTGAGGTTGCTGTTGCGGTGGCCACCGCAGCTGTTGCTGCTGCGAGGCCGCAGGGTGGTGATGCGTTGCTGTTCCGGGAGTTCAACAACACAAAACCACCAGAGTTTGATGGGACCCAGGGCCCGATGGCGGTTATGAGATGGATTTCTAACATATAGGGGTGTTTCTTCACTTCCTCATCTCCTAAAAATTTGAGAGTACGGTTCGCGTTGAACCAGCTTCGCTTGGGAGCGAAGGACTGGTGGAAGTTTGTGACAATGCACTTTCCGCCTGCTGAGCTTGCGGCGGTGACCTAGGAGAGGTTCACTGCCATGTTCCGAGATGAGTACGTTCCCCAGGTGGAGAGGGAGCGTTTGGTCCAGGAGTTTCTAACCCTCAAGCAGGGCACTCACTCTGTTACGGTGATTACCAGGATGTTCCACGAGAGGGCGATGTTCTTCCCTGAGCACGTGTCCACTAAGTAGGCACGTATGAGCCGGTATTTGAGTATCTTGAAGCGAGACATTCGGGAGTTCGTACCGGACATTTGCTGATCTTCAGGTAAATGCACGAAAGAGGGAGATCGAGCTGGAGACTCAAGCTAGAGAGGAGGTTGAGTCTCAGGGGAGGGATCAGCGACCGGCACAATTCCAGCCGGCAGCCAAGCGGGCCAAGCCCGCTGATCCCATATCAGGGAGCCAGAAGGGCCGCACTTGTGGAAAGTGCGGCAAGGGTCATGATGGAGTATGCAGAGCTGGATCTTGCTACAAATGTGGCAAGGAGGGGCATATGGCCAAAACTGCCCCAAGGGGTTTGCAGTATGTTTTCACTGAAATTAGACCGGACACTGAAAGGCGGAATGACCGCAGTTGCGGGGATCAGCTGAGGGAGCACCTCAGGGATCTGCCCCTGCCACCATCAGAGCTACCGAGAGTCGGCCAGTGAAGGCTGAGGCACCGAGGGCACGCGGGAGAGCCTTTTAGTTGACCGCAGAGGAGGTCCGTGCAGCGCCCGATGGCGTGGCTGGCATGTATTCTTTCGTGTATTTATTGTAATATTGAGATATTATGCTTATATTATGTTATGCGTAGGTACTTTTCTTGTGAATTCTGTACCTGCCTTGGTATTATTTGACTCGGGTGCGAGTCGGTCTTTTGTATCTTTGGCTTTTAGTCAGCACATCAATGTTAGTCGCGAGGCACTGAGTCGGCCTCTGAGAGTTTCCATAGCTGACGAGAAGGTGATATATGCCACAGAGGTGATCCGTGGGTGCGTACTCGAGATTTTCGGTGTTGAGTTCCCGATTGATTTGGTTCCTATTGCCATGGGGGATGTCTGCGTCATTGTGGGCATGGACTGGTTGAGCAGGTTCGGTGCGGGTATCAACTGCGAGCGACAGCTAGTGACCATACGAGACCCTAGTGGGGGAGTTCTTACAATGTAAGACGAGGGTACCCATTCTGGATGAGCGTTTTGTTCGGCCGCTAGGGTGAGGCAGTGTCTACAGCAGGGCTGTAAGGGTTTTGTGACGTACGTGTCGGATACGCGGGTTAATTCCAAGAGGCCGAGGTCGGTGGAGGAGGTTCCTATAGTGCGTGACTTCCTGGATGTCTTTCCAGAGGAGTTGCCGGGTGTGCCTCCCGTGAGGCAAGTAGAGTTCGGTATCGATTTGGTCCCGGGGGCCGCGCCTATCGGTAAGGTGCCTTATTGTCTTGCACCTCCAGAGATGCAAGAGTTATCCTCGCAGCTTCAGGAGATGCTGGGGAAAGGGTTTATTCGGCCGAGCAGCTCGCCGTGGGGAGCGCCTATTCTGTTTGTCAAGAAGAAGGATGGTTCACACCGGATGTGCATTGATTACCGGGAGTTGAACAAGCTGACGGTCAAGAACCGTTACCCGTTGCCGAGGATCGACGATTTGTTCAACTAGTTGCAGGGAGCATCTTGGTTCTCCAAGATCGATTTGAGGTCTGGCTACCATCAGGTGAGGGTGCGAGATGAGGACATCCAGAAGACAGCGTTTAGGACGCGTTATGGGCATTATGAGTTTGTGGTGATGCCTTTCGGACCCCACCAATGACCCGGCCGTGTTCATGGATCT